TTGGTTTTCATGGGCAGCGGAACCGTTGCCATCAGCAACGGGTCGATTAGATTGACATTTTTGACGACACCTAACGTCGAGGTGAGCGGCGGCGCCGTCTTCTTGGACGTCCTTTTGGCTAAACTCTGATAACTCATCGAATTTAATGCACTCATTGGGGGCCCATTGGAGGCGCCGGGAAGTGCGGGAAAGTCTTCGTCCGTTGTATTCAATTTCTGACTCTTCGACACATTCATGGAGTAAGTGCTCGGCTTCTTGTCCTTGCGTTTGGTCGCCGAGTCCTTGCCGTCTGCGCTGCCGTTAGTCTGCGATAACGACGACACACCACTCGCACCGCCCAATGATGGGAAGTCCTCGGGTCGGGGCGGTTGAGTGGACGCAGCGGTCGCGCCCACACTCATCGGTTCGTCGGCAGCTCCGGCGTCGCTGTCATCACTCTCGCGGTGTTGCTGTCCGTGTCGGCGCTGCTCGCGCTTCTGCTGAATGCGCGACTTCGAGCCGTTATCTAACTGTCCGGTGCGCTGATGTATAAACAGGTCCAGCGATATGGTCTTCGCCTTCTTGAGGTCGGATTTACTCATATTCTGAGAGTGGCATTGAGTGACGTGCGCCTGGAGGTCAATGGCGCTGTTGAAGGCGTTCGTGAACTTCTCGTCCTGTGAGTCACATTCCCGGCACAGGAAGTGGTCGTCTATGAAGTGGTGGCGAAGGGCCCCGTAGTCCGCGTAGAACTGCTTCAGTCCCGACGGGTCGCAGAAGTGACAGTAGAAGTGCTCGCGACGGAGATGGAGGTGCAGGTCGTCTTCGTCGACGTATCGCTCGTCACAGAACGTACAGATAGGGTGTCCCCTATGGCTCCGCTCGTCCGGATCACCCGACTTGCGATGTCGGGCCAACTCTTTGCGCGTATAGTATTTGCGTTCAATTGTGAAGACTTTCAGATTATTGACGCAAAGGTCGCAGAAGTGGAGTTCGTGCTCTTTCCTACCGGCGCCCACAAACACACCGTTAGATATGGTTTGTTAAGACAAATCGAGAACTAATTGGCGGATCAGTTGTCATATGATACCTGAGATGAGTGGTGAGGTCGTGGAGTGTCTTAAAGGGGCCTCTATTGCGACACTTACGGCACGGGTGCTCCAGAAGGCGTCCGTACGACTCGATGGCCGACTCGGAGTCAAAATGAATGCCATGATTGTTATGATACAAACTCTTGCGGAGGTCGTAGTCTTCAAACTTCTGGCGCTTGTTTGGCGTGAATATCACCTAATGGTCGACATATAGACAGAGAGTGAGAAGTGGTGTCGGAGTGGTGAGTGACGTCTACTGTCACCCATACCTCATCCAATTGTTGGCGACAAATGGGACACTCGTTCTGTTGGCAGAGGACTCGCATTCTTGTGGAGCATTCATAACACACCCAATGATCGCACCGTCCGATGGCGAACACCCATGACTTGTGTCCGGCAATACCGGTGCCGCCCGATGTGTCCGTACGACACACCACACAGATGTTGGACTCCCTCTCGTCGCTCATCGTCTGATCGGTGGATATATATGTCTTCGCGACGTGGACTGAATGACAGATGAATACAAATCCGTTAACTAATGATTACAATGAATGCGATAATTAACTAATGGTTACAATGAATGCAATAAATATGTATTAATTGTGAAATGAAAACGTATTGCAAATGCAATCAAATGTATGACACGTTTGCAGTGTTTGTGTCAAACGTTTTGTTATCATTTCATCGCTGCTTAGCGTATAAGCCATGCACTCAACCAATGGTTAGCTAAATATCATTACATTTGGGATCTATTAGCGCCGATGGATTGCTTGAGATTACGGCTGAAACCGATTTATTACACAATTTGTAAAGTGTTTGTACAAAAACTATAGTTTGGATGCAATGAATGGGTTATTGAGAGAAATGCAACGAAAATGAAAATTAAGGGCAAAAGTGTTGCTGAAGTGAAGCCTTGAATATTGCACTCAATTTACAGTTGTTTTCGTTTCACGTGTTGCACAGCCATAGAGCCATACATATGGTGTTCAGCGCTATATTCAAACCATTTGTATTTCTGTACAACTTGTCATCACTTTTGGCTAATGTCTTGAATATGTTTGAGAATGATCCTGTTTATTATCAATCGTATAATTTGTTTGATAATGTAATTGAGAATTAAATGCAAGCATTTTTATTACTCTATTCATTTGTATGTCAATACAGTATCCCAGTGAATATCATGTAACATATTGTGAGCAACTTTTGTAATAGAGTTTATAGATAATGAATCTTAAATTATAATCTGTTGACAGAGTTTCACGACTCGGACGACTGAAATGTCTAATGTCTTGAAGTTTGGATCAATTAATGATCAATTCTAAGATAGTATAGTTCCGGGTCTTATACCCTTTACTCAACCCTCGAAACATACAATACTCTAAATTCATTGCCAAATATAAATGTAATCATTTAAAAGGGATGTTAAACTTCAAAAATAAAGATTAATGACAAATGAACGTAAGATTGTGGATTTTCCTAAACCAGCCAAATATGTAATGAAACAAAATATTAAAATTTACAAAATCTTTAAATAACTTACTTAACGGTCAATGCCTTGACTTTTTGTTATTTCTCTATTCGCCTCCGACAGTGAATATCACTGTATTTTTGGGTCATTTCAATGTTTCGCTCGATTTGGTCCATATTTCGAGAGAGAGAGAGAGAGAGAGAGAGAGAGAGACGAGTAACTCGTTATTCAATCGAAAGAGAGACTACACTCCGGTTTATGCACCCATACCTACATTCACTACATTTTGACGCAATTATATTATCGATACATATATTTTCGGTTTCAGTCGTCGGTGTAAAACAAGTGAATTCACAACACATAAAGAGAAATGTTTAACAAATACCTAATTTTATTATGCGTTTCGTATGTTTCAGTCAATTGTAAGAATATTTTATTGTATTAATTGTTTAATTCCAGTATTTCTATGTTTAATACTTATCTGAAAATTAAAAATTCTGTTTCTTATCGACTTTGAGGTCAAACAGCGAATAACGTGACAACAAAAGTGGTCACAAATATGGACAACACGTCAAATATGACTAAAATGATTGTCTTGGAGTTTGTCAATGGGATGGGAAGGGCTCTCCAACAGCTATTGACAGCCAATTCTGTGGTTAATCGACAGGTGCTATAACTTATTAAATGTTACTTTATTTTAAAATATAACCAATAATTTGACGCCAACTTATCAATCGATTACCTCATCGCCGGAATTAAATGCCTGTCCACTGACTACAGACCGTTGACTACAACTCGACCGCAAAACAAGACACAAATCAGACGACGAGTCGTATCGAAGGCGAGAAGTTGAGGGAAGAGATCAACAAACGGGTGAATCAGTTGCAGACCATTATCGCCACTGCCATACAGGTGTCCAAAGATAGACGGGATGTGATGACGAGACGGGTTTTGGAGCAAATCAATCAACGACTGGAGGGCGCGAAGGATAGGGCGGACAAGATATTGAGCGAAGTCTGTATCCCGGAAGTGGATCCGGAAGTGGATCTCTTTTTCTGGGTTTTCTCTTTTTATAACTTTTATTAATTTTAATTATTTGTGTTTTACAGCCCAATAATAGTGAGATAGCGGTCAGGACTTTGAGGACAATCAACACCGGTATCAGTAATTTGTCCACTTTTGCCAACACTGTGTTGAGTCGAGTCAATGTCTCCATTAATGTGAATCTCAAGCAACCGGACACTCCTGAGAGTCCGGCCATAAAGCCTTAAATTATTTGTAAATAAGTTTTTAAAATATAATATTAAAAATCAATTAAATATCGATTACGTCGTCGGGAATAATAAAGTTATTATTAAAATTACAAAACCGTATAAAATGTATTTAATTATGGATTTGTTATAAAATGCTTTTAAAAAGCTTAAAAAGAGGTCACAAATTGAATGCGATATCCAATGACATGGATTGTCGCATATATTTTTGTGATACTGATTGAACCAAACTTATCATTTCATTCAAATGACTCTTACAGACAATGACTATCATTACGAACACATATCAGCCGTAAAAAGTGAATATGAATTCCGTTTTGCCGGAGAGACGACCTAATTATCGCATTCACTCATACATCAAATGCTGTCAATTTTGTGCACTTTTTATGTAACTTTTTTAGCTAGTTGACTTCATTTAAATATAATATATTATATACATTCTATATTTGCTAAAAAATTAGACTTTATTATAATTTACATAAAATTTTCAAGCATTTAAGCATATATTTAAGATAGCGATAGAAAAGTACTTTAAATGGTTATATTAAAAACCTCTTTTATCGCGTATTCAACAGTAACCAGAAAATCGTTGAGAAGATTGAGTCGAAGTCTCCTGTGTTTGTTAGCCATTGGTCTCATATTTGCCTCAAATTCCCTGATTTTCTTCAACTTAAAGCTCAGAACAGTCTTATCCTTCTCGAGTGTTGTGTTTTTGATCTTATTGTCCGCCAAAATCATTAGATTTCCATATTCTGTGTAAACGTTCTCTAATTCTATGCACTCAACGGACGTCCTGTTGTCACAAATGTCTTCAGAATTTTGGAATTCATATAACTTTTCGCTGATCTCTTCGGTTATACTCTCTTCGACCGACACTTGAGTTATAGAAACAATTCATTAAAAATTATATCCAATTATTTTTAGAGAAGTTTTTCAGATATATTACTCGCAAGGGTTGATACAATTAAAGACAAAACTATGATAATAATAAAGTGCTTCATATTTTGAAAGCGCTATTAAAACGACCGAAATTTAAATGAATAAAATAACTAAAATTGCGTTAAATCTAAGAAATATGAATTAATGTTTGAAGTAGACTGACGTTTATTTGCAAACCATTTCATAATGAATCAAATTCTTGAATATCAATGTTGTAAGGATTGACAGGAATGTCACATACAGTATAGGCTATCAGTTAACAAGCATTTCAGAGCAAACAAATCCAATCATACCATTTAACTCTGCTTTCATAGTAATAATGAACGCATTTCTAAAACAGCAATAATAAAAGCAAAGTTGGAAGATATGATCAGATGAATAGGATCAAGGTATGATATCATGACAATTACTTCATTGAATGCAAACTTATTTCTTATTTCACACAAACTCTGGCATTAAATGAGTGCTAATCTTAAGAGCAAATCAGCTCTAATCAGAAGCACAGGTACTAAAGTACAGGTGAAAAGGCAGTGCAAGGGGTGGGAGGGGGCTATAGTTGTCATCACAAGTAAGACAATTGCTAAGCAATAGTCTTAACCATTGTTTTATAATTTATATAATATGTAAATAATTAATAATTAGTTTTTAGATTTAATTAAAAATAAATTTACTTTCTATTAACAAATCAACACATAATTCATTTATAAATATAAATACAATTTTAAACAATAATTTAAATTGACTTCAAGTTTACATCAAAACCCTATTTCATCACAATTTGGCGATTCGTTTGTAGCATCAGATGGACTGATGGGAGGGAATGGTTGGCCTCCCGTTCCCTCTTATCATCAAAAAAGGCTTTTGTATTCAAAGCTCGTCTTTATTCGTATGAATTGTCTCTTCTTTCGAGTATTTCTTTGTCTTTTTCTTCGGTTTTACCGCTTTTTTGCTTACTTTCGAGTCATTAGTCTTGTGGACAGCCTTTCCATCGGCGGTCACCGACTCATTAAAAAGTGTCAAAAACTCTTGAATGGCATTAGAGGTGACATTGCGGTCAAAGCTGCGGATCCGCTCCAAAATGAATGCCCGCAACACAGATATCTTCACCACATTATGTCTTAAGAAACGCACGGAACGGACCAAATGGTTGGCCAACCGTTTGAGTTCTTCGAGTTGTGACGACTTTTTTGTCGTCAACTTCTTGGCGCCGATTCCCTGAATTTCGGACATCTTTTGTCGAACTAATGACAACTCTTTGAGTCGATTGTTGAGCGCTCTTCGCATCTGTCGTGAGTGTCGTCCACTCGAGCGAAGATTATTGAGAAGACACCGACGGTTACACAACTGGAGTGACGTCTGGAGGCGGACCGCGGGCTGTGAGTGAGTCCACACGAACTCCACTAAACTGGAGGTCGTTATGGATGTGTTGGACGAGAAGGAAATGCTTTCCATTTTGCGTTTCGCCGGAAACAACATAATTGTTGGATATCTGCAGTGATAGAGAAACCAATACTTAATACTAAACCCAAATCCGAAGTCATGTCATACATACCGGTCGACGGTGTACTCCCAGGGGAGGTCATTAGTGTCACCATTGATTCTGTAGTAAAGTATCAAAAGATTAATCATTGAATATCTCAACCATAGTCTCTGAAGTGATGGATACCTCGCAAACACCACGCCTTTGACGTCTTGGAAAAGTCGGGCCACTTCTAGGTATATGTGAGCAATGGTTGAGCAAAAGCCGCACCACTGGGCGTAATACATGACCACAACATCCCTGTGCGGGTCCAACACAACCCGAGCGAACGACTCGCTACTCAGTTCGGGAACACATATCACACGTTCAGCACCGGTATCGTCCGCTTGACACGAGCCCGAAGTGGTGGCGATTGAGGCACTCTTGAGGAATCGTGGAAGTGATCGGTCGGTGAAGTTCTTAACGAACTCAACGAGCGATCGTTTGCTGATTGTCTGCGAGGAGTCGCCGCTCAACGGGTTGGCCAACACGTGGACCAACTCGTTGGCCGAGTCGACGATCGCAGCGACGGTGGCGTGAGTTTCGTTGAAGATATCGATTCCGATATTCTCGGCGAACGCCGGAAACAGAACGGAGTCGACGGCAGCGAACCGTAGGGTTCGGTTGGCCCGACACGACAGACCCGTGAAGTTGGCCCTCCAGTGTTGGGCCGCCTGACCATCGGCTGAGTCCGGAAAGTTTAAGTCACTGTATTTGAGGCCCAGATTCAGTCGATGGCAGTGCTGGAGCTCCGACTGCTCCACCATTTTGGCCACCGTTTCGTCGAAATTGTACGAACTCTCGTCGACCACATTACCGGTGATGAAGTATTTGTCGCCCAATTCACTGCGCGTGGGATGAGTGCCGGAACAGGTGGTGACGATTCGGTAATACGAGGTATACTTTGGTTGGTATGAAGACTTGATTTCATTGCAATACTCGGCCGTATTGTTGGCATCGTTGGGATCAAAGTCGGTGAGGAATCGGGAGGCTGTGGCCAAACAGTTGAATCGGTGACAATTGGCCGGGCATTTGGCGAGACTTAAGTGCACACAAGACGTACAAAAGCACTTCTTGTCACTGGCTTTGCTGGACGGACGCCAACGAACTACTTGTGAGTGACAGCACGTGTCCGAGTCCGTCACAACCCGTTTAGCCGATCCGCTGGTCACCACTGTGTCCGCCATCTGTTCAGACATTTCGTGACACTTCTCCTCCAATTCCATGAGTTTCTCCTCCAAGAGATGTCTGCGAAGAATACTTCTGTGGATTATCGACCGAATGAGTGGTGAGTTATCGCAGTTATAGTAATCCATAACCACTTCTCGCAACTAATCCATTAAATAATGATTGGATTCAATGAAAAGATACTTTTTATAGACATCATTACTACTCACGACATCAAAGTAGGGAGAGATCCCTAACACAAAACTTCTTGGAGTAAACAAAACCAAAGTCGGATTTTTGGTGATTATGTCGGACAGAGCGCTGCTCTTAACACCCGATGGGGTCAGCCATCGGAGTGTCTGTGTCTGATGGACGCGACTGTAGACCCAACTCAAAATAGTGTTGGATTTGATGGATTTGGTGCCGTAGTGTTCGGTGGAGTTCCAGAGGAATAGAGTAAGTCGTTGAGTCTTAGCCAACGAAAGCTTAACAGCAACCCTACGGCTCGATATGACACAATAGCATACTGTGCGCCACGGATCAGACGCCAGGGCTTTGACTGCTGTCGAGAAGAATTGCTTATATCCGGGCGGTTGCGGGGATTCGTTGAAATCGAAATAACCAATCAATACGGCCTTCACATGGTATACAAAATCAGTATTTTTCATACACTTTGCATTACAAATGGTAAACATTTTACGTCATGTTTGGCCCTCAGGTCCAACAAATCGCCCTCATTTTGCACGGGTATGACGGGGTCGAGCAGGTTGTCCAGGAAGGGTATCATATAACTGGCCACCACTGGGCCCTTGTACTCCACTTCGCCGGCCATTCGCACGTGTGCTAAGAGAACGGGGTATCGCCTGAGGTTGTAGTACTGCCGGCACTGACCTTCCGGCCACCAACAGTTGATCGCCGCGAAGAATATCTGCCATTATGTGGCAAAACATATCAATTAAATTATTATTTGATCGTAAAGTTTGAGTGCTAACTAAAAAACGCTATGAAATAAAAGTTGTAAAAGTGATCTGGTTTTGAGACTATAGTTGTGGAAACTCTTAAGCAATAGTTGTCAAAGCGGGTGATGTCTGGTAAGCCATACCTGATGTCTATAGTGTTTAGCGACGGTCTCGAACTCCTTCTGAACTCGAATGCATTCTGAATCCCAGGGCGCGTCTGTCACCCAAACATACCATTCATTTAATTCATTCATATATTCATCACATTTCAATTCACACATACAGTACATGACGAACGAGACATCGTTTTGAAGGGCACGGAGTGATAGTTGTCTCAAATCTCCGAACTCGTATGAAATGTTCACAAATTCACTTGATTTGTGAGACACCACTCATGACTTCATGAGAAGTTATATTTAATTAAATTTTGGGACTTTAATTCATAAATTCATTACATGATTGTGTGTATCATTTAATAAATGTCTCAAAAGTGTTTCTGATATGCAATCATGCATTTTGTGTTCATTTTGAATCTGTTAAGCCATTAAAGTGACTCTTTAATTAATGTCTTATTATTAAGTCACGATAAGAGCAACACATATATTTTTATATTTATATGTCTATTACCCTGGACCTATAGTATTATATGTCATGATGACTATTAATTACACATATAATATATAAAAGTGTACTAATTTTCAAATCATTAGTGTTTAACCAACAAAAATGTTGCCAACATTAGTATAGAAAACAAGTTTCTTAACCAAATATTAGCCGTGAAATTGAAGACAATATTCTTGAGGCAAGAATTGAATGAATATAATGTTTGGACAGAATCTGAATGAATGACTGAATTGAATGCCGGACTCATAGATAGCAGTGTTAATGGTGTAACTCTACGAGCATTGCGTTATTCAATACAATACATTGAATGCACGGATAATATGGCGAATGCGATGAACACTAACGATATCAGTGTTAGCGTTAGAGTGAGACCTAACAAGTCGTGTAACAACTATAGCAACGATAGGCTGACACATGTGGAGGACAACCACTGCCACGATTGCACCGACACTACAGACTCAGCGCACGTGAAGCACGCGGACGACGATCACCGCCCGGACCACACCTCCCGGCCCTCCACTGGCGACCGACCACTCAAGAGATGTCACACTTTTATAGCGCATATAATGCGGCAAAAGAGTAAACAAGTGTTGGTTTGTCTCGTGTTGGCCATCATTGTCACCCTTTTGGCCGCTATTAACAACGGGTAAGACTTGATCCCTATGTCCACTCCATGTCTGCTTCAAAGTGATGCCTCACTATCTCTTGATTGTCAAAAATAATGTGTATTTTGAGTAACGCTTAACATTACGTGTTATACAAAAGTTTGCGAAACATTCATCTGATAAGCGCTGCAAACATAAGTTTGCAAAAGTTTTTTGTTTGCAGTGAAGGTTAATTTATTGATTACTGTTTATTTTGAATTTAGTTATTGTTTGTTGGTTATGATCAACATTTTGTTTATTTGCATTTGTTTAGTCCAATATGTTTTCGCTAAACATTTTTTATATTAAATAAACTTATTTCAGAAATAATGAGTAATAAAATATATTAGTTTGAGTTTAACTAATTATCTCTTTATTATAATTAAGTAAAACCCAAATAAGGTTTTAATTTAAACTATTTTGTGAATGTGTTACTAAATAGCTATGTATTATACAACTTAATGAGTAAGAAGGAAAAAGTTTGCTAAACTTTTCTGAATTGTTTTATAAATAGTTTGACAAAGATTTGAATATCTTTTTAAATGTACAATTAATGATGACTCGACTTAAAGCCTTTTCACTAATGAATCAGTAAAATGTTAGATAAAAACACGTGAACTGAATCTCAACAGAATATTACACATAATTACATGCATTCATATCAGACACATGTGTTGAATTGTTTTGCCGTTTAAATGATAACCAATTAAAACACTTGTGAAGTGTATTGAAAATTGAATGCAAGAAAAAAAGTATTTTGTTTGCACTATAAATGTGTTTTACAAATGTGTTGCAGAGGTCTTCGCACCCGAAAGACACCAAATCCCACAAAACTCTTCGACGAAGACTTATATCCGATAGTGGACTACGAGTTCGGAGATTTGAGACAACTATCACTCCGTGCCCTTCAAAACGATGTCTCGTTCGTCATGTACTGTATGTGTGAATTGAAATGTGATGACTATATGAATGAATTAAATGAATGGTATGTTT